TAATTTTATTTGAAATAATGAATTTTAATATTTCAACAATGCAATTAATAGATTGTTATATATTATTTAAAATCTGAAACCTTTCAGAATTTTCTTTTTTTTTTTTTAATATGATCTAATTTTATGATTTGTATTCTGTGAACTGCTTTGCAAAACTCTGGATATTTAAACAGGGGTTGAAGTTGGACAGGACACAGGTATACTGGTTGGTCATTTTAATTTAAAGCATTATCCAATTCTTTAGAGCATCGAGATCTTATATTAGTTGCAAAGTAGATGTAATGAGCTACTGAAGTAAATATGATTAATAACATTTAATTTTCGTTAAAATATAAGGTAGCAAAGTGTTGCTATATCTTGGAATACATATCTCATTTATCATTTCCGAAAACATTTTCTTCATCATCTATTAAGCTTCAGACGCAAAAGGGTTAAGTTTTGCTCATAAATATTATGAATGCATAAATAAGGCAAGATACAGTGAGCATTTCATCATCAATCATCTATGACGTGCTTAAGACAGTTACTAACGTTCAGGATATTCGGTGCCTGATAAATGATGCTAAAAAATTCTGGCAACATTTCCATTGTCATAGTATTAAGTAAGTGTATTAGCGAAGGTTTATACTGCGAAGTTAGAGTCTCAATTAATGCAAAATGAATGTGTTCATCACATTATTTGTTTTGTTGTTATCAAATTGAACAACGTTAAAAACTAATTAATTATAAGCTATAAATACTTCCTTGAAATAATGGAAAATTAATGTTTAAAAGCTAAGTGCATAGAATATACACAAAATGTTTAGCCCAAAAGAGATATAACGCAATTTTGCATCATCCACTGTAAATTCGTTTCTTTCACTTTTCATTTGAGTCTGATGCTATTGAGCAAATTATAATAATAATCATATTTGTGTATTAAAATTATAATTATATTATTTATCTTTCGTACTTAATCTACTTGTTATTGAGCCCACCAGCGGCCGAGCGGTAAAGTCGTTGAATTATTTTAAATAAAAATGCATTTAATTTTTGATATCTCTAGTTGAAAACCTTAAATATCTTTGCAGAATTACGTTATATGTATTTCCGCCTTTAAAATATAGTGAAGATATATAACGCTCTCATTCAAGTCTAAATTATATAGTCACCTATTATTTTATAATGTTTCGGTATCCATCTAGACAGCTAGAGCCGGTTTGGACAGTCGACCTGTGAAGACCACGCTGCGTTGCGCTCCTGCTATTTTTTGATTTTTCAAGTGGAAGTTTCACAGTGCGAAGTGCGTGTGATAAATCAAATTGTGCGTGAATGTGAGCTGAATCCAAGGATACATCGCATTAGTATGTGTGCATCTCGTAGTTTTCAAAAAATATGTGAAAAAGTGTGCTCAACAATTTTGTTCACCTCATATGCCGTCCTTGTAACGGAAGGGTGCCGAACGGCCAACCACGTGGTTGCCGTACTAGGCTTAGGAAGTACGTCGGAAAAATTCTGAGTCCAGAAATCTGTGATTTCTTTTCAAAAATCAATATCTTCGTAATTAATGCACTTAGGATTACCGGGTTTTCGGCAATTGGTAAGTTCTTCATATACTATTATATTATATTTTCAATATGGCTATAACTGCATTATCTCTTCGATATTAGCATCTTAAGACTAACCTTTTCTGGAACCTAGCTAAAATCTGGACCCAAATAAACTTAATTTTCTGATTGCTGTCTGAAACTTTATAAAATATGCTAGTAACACCAAAGGGTCTGTTCATTGGGCTCGGATACTAGTTTAAAAATGATACTTGATTTTGTCGAAACGTTGTGAATTTCGACACAACTCCTTCACGTCGTCGAGTGCAATTTCGACAAACTCCTTACAGTGTATTCTCCATAGTTTTTAAAACAGTTTACTGTTATTTTAACTGTGTTATATCTTTCTGAGCCTTTCTGTGTGCCTTTACATATCGTATACATATTTTTGATTGATTATATATTATTTTATATAATAATATATTATTTCTCTGTTTATATTGAACATTCATTATGTTTTACTGATATAAAGCATATTAACGTCATTTTTAATTATATTATACCAGTCTGTTTCTTATGGGAAATTAATTACCTAGTGTGAGCTTATGTAATATTCACGCATCGCTATGCCTCAACAATCAGTTTCGTTTACGGATGATCCAGTGAATGACAACTTTGATCCTACTACTGCATTGCTTGCAACTGATAACAATTATAGTGACAAAGTTAATTTGTTATACGATCATATTCGTGCCATTGCAACTCTCTATCGAGGAGAAAGTATAACACTTCCTTTCGAACCACGAGAAAAATTGCTCCATTCATTGGATGCGTTACGGCAATTGGCTCTTCAGGGCCCGGATTACAACCCGAAACCAGCCACAGTTGAGGCTGAGGTGAATACATCAACAGTGGTCTGCTGTGAAGTTATTCATAACCCACCTATTATTTCATCTCTGTAGCAAGTTCCTTTAGTTCCAAATCCCCCTGCTTTGCCTTCTCCAGCTCCTGGACACTCTTACGCATCTGCATTACAGCAATCCCTTCCGTCAGTTCTTACACCTACTTTACTAATATATCCAAAAGAGAACACAACTAGCAGGAAGCTTAGAGATAAACTTTCCCGAGAATTTCCTTTGCCGAAACTTGGAGTCCAAGTTAAACGGATCAAACCTATCCAACGGGGTGGATTGGCGGTGGTCTGCCAGTCGGAAGAAGATCGGAAAAAATTAGCAGCTACTTTAACGTCTGATCGCGCAGCTACATTTGTTAACGTAAAGAATCCCACAACAAAAAAACCCCTTATTGCAATTCATAATTTATCCCCAGATCTGACACAGGAGGATTTACAGCTTACCATACAAGAAGACTTTGGCCTCACTAGTGACGAAGTTAAACTTATATTTCGTCTAAACCAGCGACGCAATGTCAAGTGGGTTGCCGAGTGCAGCCCAAGGGCATATCAAACCTTCATGTGCAACCCTCGCATCTACATCGGCTGGCAAGGCCACCTTATCACTGAGCACTTTAATGTCAAAAGATGTTTCAAGTGCCAACGTTTTGGGCACCTGCAAAAAGACTGCCGCAGCGTCCACTATTGTGCATTGTGTGCTGGACAACACGATACCAAGGACTGTTCGGTCGATGCCGATACAGCAGCATGCATCAATTGCATCGATTATAACAACGGCAGCAGATATCAAGTCCCGATTGACCACGCAGCAAACTCCAACACCTGTTACTGCTACCAAAGTAATATTGACAGAATCCGAAGCATCACCACCTATGAGTAGAGATGCCCAGTATAATGTTTCATGTAATTCTGTTCCTAACATCAAATTCTTGCAAATTAATCTTCAGAAAGCTCAAGTTGCAACTGCCCAGGCAATAGAGTTTGCGTTAAGCAACAAAATTGATTTTCTTCTCGTTCAAGAGCCATATACTAGACATGGCAAAGTGGTTGGTTTTCCTTTATTATGGACTGTATATCATCAAGAAAATTCAGAAGATCCTCCACGCTCAGCAATAATTAATTGTAACCCTCAATTCTCTCCATCAATTATTACTATTACTAAAGATCAAGTAGCACTTTTATTAGAATTAGAAAATTTTACTATAGCATTATTTTCGATCTACTCCAGTCCCTCAGATGATATCAGCACTACAATCTCTTTCCTGGAACACTATACAAGAGTTCTTGGTAATAAACATCAGATTATCAGCGGCGATTTTAACGCTCACTCTGTTGCTTGGGGCTATCGAACAACAGACCCCCAAAGGCCGTCTGTTAGAAGACTTCTTATCTTCTAAAAATTATGTATTACTCAACGCCACGAATACAATTCCTACTTTCGACAGACTATATGCTGTGGGTTGGCCGGACCTGACCTTTACATCCGCCAATACCTCTCACTTAACAAGTAATTGGACGGTCAGAGATGAGATTTCATTATCTGACCATAAATATATCACTTTTGAAATAACACAACATAGTTCTTTACCTATCTTACCTCGTTATAATCTTCCTGGCAGGAAAATTAATCAGTTTAGTCGAAAAGTTCGTGGAACTCTTAATCGTCTTCGTCACCAAATCAACTCTTTAACCATATCTGAAGATATTGAACGTTTTTCAGAGTCCTTAATGCAAAATCTTCAAGATATTTGTCACGAAATACTTCCAAAGCGAACTACCAAGCAGCTCCATACTTTACATTGGTGGAACTCTGATCTTCGCATACAGCAGCGGAAGTGTCGTGCGCTTAGGCGACGATTAAAATCTGAACGACGCAATGGAATAAACATCTAATACTCTTCAAGTTTTCAAAGAGAGCGTGCTCTGTATAAACGGATGATACTGATTATGCAGAGCAAAATAGAAGCTTGGAGAAAATACTGCACATCAAATAGAGAAATATTTGGCTTACCCTATAAGATCGCTCGAGATAAGCTTCTCCAGCCTGCATCAACGTATCTTTCAGAATCATCACTTGCTGGGTCTAGCCCAATAGAAAATACTATTAATGATATTCTAGCATCAGTTCTTCCTCAGGATGATATTACAGATGACTCCCCAGAGCACTTGTCAATTAGGCAGCAAACTTCTATTCCTAACACAGAGGATGATCCACAGATTACAATTACAGAAATTAAAACCACTCTTCGAAGTATTCCAAAAAAAAAACGGGGGCCCAGGCCCCGACGGGATTGACTATTCTATAATTCGTGTAATCATTAATTCCCACATCTTCTTTTTCTGTGATTATTTTAATAAGTTATTTCTTAATGGTGTATTTCCTCGTATCTTCAAAGCTGGAAGAGTGGTTCTTTTTCTCAAAAAAGGCAAAGATCCGCAATTATCCACATCTTATCGACCTATATGTCTATTATCTGCTCTGGGGAAAGTTTATGAAAGCATAATTGTCTACCGTTTAAAACATTATCTTCACAAAATTCACTTTTTAAGTGATCACCAATATGGCTTTAGACCAGGTAGGTCTACCCTACAAGTATTATCAAAAATTACAGAAGATATACATCGTAATCGCAACAATGGTCACCACAGTGCTTTCATCAGTATAGATCTTAAGAATGCTTTTGACTCACTGTGGTGGCCTGCAATACTGGAGGCACTTCGACAAGCTGATTGTCCTCAGAATTTATTTCTTGCATTTCAAAGTTACTTGTCGGAAAGAAAAATTATCTACTCCACTAATCATGGCATTATTACAAGACAACAAAACAGAGGCTGTCCGCAGGGTTCTTGTGCTGGCCCTGATTTATGGAATATAACATTTAATTCTGTTATTGCCGCAAACTGGCCAGCACATACCCGGGCATATGCGTATGCAGATGATACAGTTTTTATCATTCAAGGACGAACTCGAGAAGAGTTGCAAAGAAATGCTATTGAAACCTGTGATCTCTTTTATAACTTATGTTCTAGAATTAAATTAACAATTTCCGAACCAAAATCGCAAATTTTATTAATCCCTAAAAAAGGAGGATCTTTGGTTCGACGGCCTCGAATCACCATTCATGGTACACGTATACCTATCAAACCGCAGCTCAAATTTCTCGGCGTTATCTTTGACGAGAAACTGAACTGGATGCCGCATGTTTTTGGAACTAAAAGAGACGAACTGTTATAATTGCATGTAAATTGCGTCAAATGCAGGGTCGTGGATGGGGAATTAGTCCCTATATACAAAAGGTTCTTTATCTCACCGTTATCGAGAGAATGGTCACCTATGCGGCTGCTATATGGGCTGAACCCATGCAGGGTCGCAAAGTGCGCCACTTGCAAAGTCTCTCCAGCGTCAATTTGCCTTACAGATAACTAGGGCGTTTCGTACTACCTCATCCAGTGCATTAAATGTCATGGCGGGACTGATATCCCTCTTCATCTACGTATTCTGCAGGAAGCAGCAATACAATCCGTCAAGGTTTTGAAAAAACCTTTCATCCTATTTGATGAACTTTTCACACCATTGCACTATGAACAACAACCCTCACAACATTTGGATGTGCATCCAGTCCTTCAAGGAACAGGACTTCGGATTTTCCTTAAGGACGTAACACTGCCACCTATCCCAAGCATTCAATATTACACTGATGGATCTAAAATAGATCAACAGACAGGCTGTGCCCTTGTAGCCTTTCATAATGGTCAGTCAATTTATCAGTGGCTGGGTCATCTCCATGGAAATAATAGTGTATTTCAAGCGGAGGCCCTAGCCATCCTCAAAGCAGTTCAACACTGTAAAACAAGTGGTGCTATGGAGGCAATAATTATCACTGATAGTCTTTCGTCGCTTCAAGCGATTCAAAACCCCAGACATTCTTCTTCGCTTATCTCGGACATCCAATGTGAACTTCGTAATCAAGTGGGAAATAACATCACGCTAGCTTGGACTAAGGGCCATGCTGGGGATCACGGTAATACTTTGGCAGATAAGTTAGCCAAATCAGCTGCCGAAAATACCGATGCCGAGGCTGAAGAAGTGATTCTTAAGTGGCCAACATCTCACTTAAAACGAGCTCTTCTTTTAAAAGTTATATCCCAATGGCAACTAGAATGGGATACTGATGAAACCGGTCGACGAACGTACAATCATATTACGTATGTGGATCAATGTCGTCAGATAACAAATCATCAACTAGTAAGATATATCTCGGGGCATGGTCCATTTCCAAGCTACTTTTACAAGCATGGAATTGCAAATAGTGAATATTGTGTCTGCGGAACTCTAGGCATACCTGAACATTATATTACTACATGCCCGTTAACGGAGGAATTTCACATTCCTTTCCCTGTGGATAATCAACTAGCATTTAGTAAATTTTTAATTAAGCAGAAGTACCTTATCAGAAAACTCTCAAAAATTATGGACATTCTCCACAGTTATGGATCTGATCTATGTCAGGTTGTCTAATGTTAATGGTTTTTTTTTTTCCTGTTTTCATAATACAACTGTATTCTTGTACACTCCAGTTGCATTCTTGTCTGTTTACATAGTGTTTTCATAATACAATTGTATTTTTGTACACTCCAGTTGCATTCTTGTCTATTTACATATTATAACTATATTCTTTCTTTTTAATAGTCCCAGTATTGTTACAAATATTATTAAAAATTGTATTGTATTTTAAATGCACTATAAAGATATTGCACAATAAGTATTATACTCGCAACCTCAAACTATACATATGGTATTACTATCTTACTGAATTACAAGCTACATATTAAGTATTCTAATCTGGTTATATATCAAAAATATTGTATCGAGCATTGTAATAACTATTGTATCAAACTATTAGCATTGTATCATATTTCATTATAATTACAATATACAATATTTGCACTCTAAGTACTGCATTATATTCTAACTAGTCTATTAACTTAATTTACTTATTATTTTAATTCTTGCATTAATTATTGTATTAAGTTGGTAGTTATGTAATATTATGTTTGAGTTATAAGCTCTACCCTAAGAATATGTGATGCAACATATTGAAATTATGAACATCGTATCGCTATGTATGCTTTAGTATGGAACTGTAAATTAAATTCTTTGCAATACAGAAACTGGATTATTAGCATAACGTTATAAGTAGTCTTGATTCAACTTGGCATTAACTATTTTATTGAATTACATGCAGAATTTTAGACTTTAGATTTTCAGATTTAGTTTATTGATTATATTGAATTATATGTCGTGTTTTGCATATTGCACAGAATTATTAATATTGAATTGATCATAAGTATTTTTTATACATTATATTGGTATAACTATATTGTTGCATTGTATCGCATATTGCACAGAATTAATAATATATTGAATTGATCATAGGTATTTTTATACATTGCATTTGTATATATATACTGTTGCAAAATATGTCTTTTTTATCCTCAGTATTGTACTGAAGTGTTGCTTTTGTGTATTGTATACAAAGTATTGCATTTAATTCGCTTTAGTTATTAAGAACATTGCCTTATAGGCATCATACTATTAAGAATATATATATTGCACTTCTTTTTTATACCCTGAGATACGTATTGAATTAAATATTGTATTAATTATTTTACTGAACTAGCAATTGTGTTAAAATACTGTATGAAAGTTAAAGTAGTATTTTGGTCTCTTTTTGCTTTAAATATTCCATTAAATTATAAATAGTATCATAGACGTAGCTTATCGATTTTATACTGTATCATATGTCTTGTATTGCATATTGCATAGAATTATTACCAATTACTTGACAATATGTATTTTTCTACATTGCATTTGTCTATATACTGTCACATACTCTATTTATTTACTCTTAGTATTGTATTGTACCTATTGTTGTGTCTTGTATACTAACCCTGTAAGCATGTTAATTTACCTATTGTATCACATATCTTACGTATTTGCAGTACATTATATTATATCGTATAACCGTATTGTATAATATATATATTAAATTGTGAGCTTCGTATGGATATGTATCATCTTATATGAAATTGCAATGTTGTGAGCATCGTATACATAATAAAATTGCACTATAAGTCCCCTGCAATACAGGAAATGTGTAGTTGGTATCGTAATATAAATCATTAATTTTGCATTAACTTTTGTAATTGAATGATATAGCATCCATTATCTTACGTATTAGTTGTAAATCATATTGTACTGTATAATGTATTATATAATATATACATTAAATTGTGAGCATAGTATAGATATGTATCATCTTGTATAAAATTGAATTATAAGTTCCCTGCAATACAGTACTGTGTAATATATATTAAATTGTGAGCATCGTATAGATATGCGTCGTATAAAATTGCACTAATATAGGAAATATACAGTTGGTATAGTAATATAAATAGTGTTTTATTAACTTTGCATTAACTATTGTATTGAACAATATGGCTTATTGATCTTATATTGAATTATCTATCTTGTCTTGCATCTCGTACAGAATCATTAGTATCGTTTTACCTTGTATTGGTATATATCTGTATATGTGTATGTATGTATATATGTGTGTATGCGTGTATATATAGTTGTATAATGTATCCTCTTTACCTTGCATTGGTATTTATATAGTTGCATAATGTATTTATGTATTGTATCCTTGCTTTGTACACTAACTATTGTATTGAACTTACCATCAGTATTAAGATCATTACATCATCGATATCATACTATCAGCATTATTATCAGCCTAGTATGTAGCAGCAGTAGCAGTTTTGTAATATTTAGCATTGTATCAGTTTGTAGTACTGTTTGTAAGTATTCTAGTAGTAGTTTTGTAGTATTGTAGTATGTAGCAGTAGTAGTTTTGTAATGGTGTTTACTCCTTTGGTTTTCTATTGTTATCGCTATCTGTATGTGTTTTGTTCTAATTATGTCTATGTGATTCTAGTATTTATTCAAAACTGGCACTTGCACCTTTGTAATCTTATGCTTTGTCAAAACTTCAAATGTACCCTTTATTTATCTATTATATTATTATTTATTTTTTTTTGAGCCCTTGTCTGGCCATGTATTTGTTGAACTTTGACTCAATAAATACTAGGCCCGGGCGGTTGGTGTGAACATGCTTCTGGGGGCTTCTTTGGTCTTTTGGACTGCCACCTGGATGGCCTGGTCGCTGGGTTTCGGTGTATGGTGCGAGGCGCCTGTGTGGTCCATCTGGCTCAAGATAGAGGTGGACGTGTTGCATATGCCAATTAACCATTACGGTAAAGGGATGGTGCACACGTCCCCCGTCAACTATCAACTATCTACAGCAATGATAATTCCATGAAAAGTATTAAACATTAAGATCTATTCAGGTCGTTAAATCGACTAGCGAAAGGTCCAAGGGATAAGCTCACCGCCGAGCGGAAGTCGCTGAACAGTAGTTCGGTTCGAGGTTCGAATCGCGAACGGGCTGGCTGCATGGGCGTTTCGTGGTTTCCCATGTGTAATGTGTATACCAGCCATTTCCCTTAGAAAGTCCTCCACGAAGGCTATCCCTCCCCTTAGGCAGATAGCCCTAGTGTGCTTTGCCATAATTAAATACACCATTGAACTACTTGTTATTGATTAAACAATTAAGCTATTTAAAAGCAACCGCTATAGTTCTTAAGGATATTATTTTTTTGCCCTTTTCTTGTGATTGAAAAATGCATTTAATTCATGATATGTCTAATTAGAATCATTCAGCATTTTTACAGAATTGAGATGCATGGTTTTCATTTTTCAAATACGCAAGCGATATAATATTACTATATTAGTCTAAATGGATATTAATCTAAAATCCTATTAAATGATTCGCTATTCCACTTGCGCTATGTCTGTTAATAATTCCTACTGATATTTACGTTTAAAGAGCTCTTTTGGATGACAGCTAAATTTTTAAATATTCGAAGTGCTAGTGTCGAATTCATGTTTTAATATTCAGCTGAGAATAGTGTTAAAAATTCTTTAATTTTATATATATATATGCAACTTTATGGCTTTCGTTTCTTTGCTGGCAGAACAGCCGGTACGCTTAGGAAAGATGCTTGTCGGCCTGTTTAAGTCTCGTCGGTGACTATAATTATTTCTTAGCACCTTAGATCAAGCTCCCCAAAGTCTGCCTTTAAAAGGGAAAGCGAGTGATGGAATTAAAAAAATGGAAGGTGAACTAAAAAGGGAATAACAATTTGTACGGGGAATGGGAACAAACATATTTATTACTATTTTAAGTTAAATAAACCTGCAGTTTTATATGCTTATTTAATTTTATCTAAACAAAGGTGTATTAAATCTTGTTAGCTCGATCATAGAAACTAATTTAAAATATTCTTAAAGGGTGCAAAATATTGGAGAAATCAAACAAGAAGAATCAGCGTAATATTTGAAAAGAAGAAACTTCCACTAGAAAATTTACAAATATTACGCTGATTCTTGTTGTTTGAATTCTCCAATAATCATTATTCGCCATGTTATTTGAACCTAAGGTTAGTTTTTTCCTATGTTATTTAATTACGGCAAAGCCTCGAGGGATGCCTTCGTGGAGAACTTTCTAAGGGAAACTGGCTCGTATATACGTTACACATGCGGAAAAGCACGAAAATACCCATGCAGCCAGCCTGTTCTCGAGATTCGAACCTACGGACCGAACTACCAGTGTTCAACGACTTTACCGCTCGGCTGCTGGTGGGTCTTTATTTGAACCTAAATTATATGGTACAAATTGTTTTAAACATATACATACGTATTTCGTATAGCTTCGGGGTAGGTTGTTTCAAACTAGTATTTAGAGAAAGGTCTACTTAAAGAGTTGCAGTAATCTGATTAACATGTGACTTACATACTGAAATATATGCGTAGATATTTCATAACATACACACATTTTAAAATTTTAATTATATGCATTTCAAACCCATAGTCTGTGTACATGTGATTGCAATTTGTCGCAGCAAATATGAATAATAAGGATAATACTATGCCACCTGTTATTAAAATGCTTTACTCATCCCACTATTCTTTAAGTAATTTTAACGTTCATATCAATATTTTTTTGCTTTTTGAAAACATACTACACAAAGATTTTCGACAATTTTTAATGATTAAATGAAACATATATTTACTCCTTTACATCTTAGTTATGAAATCAACACCTGCAGTGAATATACTGAGTGTTTCACAGATCATGGGACAAACTTGGAGGGGTGGTAGAGCGTACTAAAACATGCACTTTTTGTATAGGAATGTAGGGGCTAAAGTGACGGGTTAAGGCAGGAACGCAAAAAAACAACACAACAATACATAAAGATAACAATACAATACATAAATACAAAAGATACGTAATACATAAATACAATACATAAATACGACACAACAATATAATACATAAAGGTATCAAAACGTCCATTCTCATGGACAAACTGTATAGATTAGAATTAATCTTCATGTAAAAAATTAAGATTGTTTTACATATTTTCTGAATTTGTGTTCCTTAATGAGATATTAATACCTTTTACAAAATTTTTTATTTTTATCTGAAAGTATGTAAATATGTAAAACACAGTTTTCGTTTGTCGCGTAGTATGCTATTTACAGGTTTTTTTATTTATGTGCTTTTAGAAGGTATAACTAAAATTATCTGTTGTTTCATATTGATTTTTTACCCATGTACACAGCAGTCTGTTTTAATTTCAGGAGCACGTTTTAATTTCAGATTCCATTTTAGTTTTCCACAGGGCATAGACACTTATCATAGGTCGAGGACCTCCGCCGGACAGGAATCTATGCCTCAGACTCCTGGATTGATCTATTAAATGTGTTAAAGATCTCAAGTACTTGGGAACAGTCCTGGATAATAGTCTTTCTTGTCAACCTCATATCTTCTGACTAAAACTTAGGAATAATACTCTTACTAGTAGCATGCTTTTCACAACCTCAACGAGGCGGAGAATCCCGGGAAAGCTACTGAAGTACTATGTAGTATAGTAAGAATTGTTTTATATTTAGCACCAATTTGGAAAATGCTTTCACAGCAGACATAAGGAGATCACTACTCATGGTGCAGAGACAATCGGTTCATATGATATGCTCGGCATGCAGTACTACTTTGATAGCAACCCTGCAGATTATGGCAGGCACGCCTCCTCTAGACTTATAATTGAAAGAGAAGAGACTATAGTAAATGTTTCCCACTGATAATGAATGAAGAGCCTTTTACCCAGTAGTTTTTGCAACACCAGGGTGCCTAGGCCAGAGGCCTTACCCCTTGTAGAATATGTCTGGTTCCATTTAATATTATATTTACAGTTAACCATTCAATATAAGCATATAAGTAATTACCAAAATAATATTTTTTTTTATATAAATTTTTAGGTCTTTAGAGGGTAAATTGCTGTTATGGTGGAAGCCCAGGAAAGCTGTCGAGCCGTGACTACAAAGTTACATGGTAAGATGGTAAGTGAGTAAGTCAATAGTCTGGATCCATTAAGTACATGATACATGATTCAAAAAATATGAGCAATAATTAATGAAACATTAGAAGATAATAAAAATAAGAACATACATGACATCAGAGGCAGGTAAAAGGGTGAGAAAGAGTATACACAAAGCAGGAATAAATTACATAATGTACACATTGAGCTGAGCAAGGGGACGATCAATATTCGCAAGATCGTTATAATCATATTCACAGATTTTGATGCAGGGATTGTCAATAATTTGCTGCCTACTGTGAAATCTTTTGGCCAGCCTGTAGTAGAATGATCTGAGCTGCATCATGCCCAGCTCTTCATGTATTCTATTATTCCTGATATACCATTCTGCGTTGGTAATTTGCCTTAGAACAATATTCTGACAAGCCTGCAGCCTGCCTCTGTTAGTTTTGCGTGTGTGGGCCCAGATAAGGGCTGGCATAACAGAGTAATGGTCTGAGAATGGACTTGTAAATAAGTAACTTGTTGTCTATAGATTACACTCTGTTCCGAGCAATTAAGGGGTTGAGTTGCGCTTTACGAACCCGGAACCTTTGGATAATAGAAGTGATGTGTGGGGACCATGTGAGAGTATTGTTGAGGATCACCCCAAGATATAGGACTTGCTTGGCCCAGGGAATGGTGGTACCAAAGAACTGGAGATTTTTTCTTGATCTTGGTTTTCCTAGTGAACAGGATGGCCTTGGTTTTGTCGACATTAACTGCAATCTTCCACTGGGTGAGCCAGGTCTCTAGTGCATGCATGGATGTGATTCTGTAGTCGTTGTATTGCTGGACCAATAAATGCACTTTGTGCCAGGATCGCAGTGTCGTCCGCATACATAGCTAATGTTGTGTCATGTGTGGTGGGAATGTCGTTCACGTAAATGTTAAAATATGTAGGTCCAAGCAAGGACCCCTGAGGGACCCCTGCATGGATGGGGTGGAAAGTTGAGTTTGTGCCTGCTACATGAACGACAAAGTATCTACCTGTTAGGTAGGAATTGGTGATGTTAATGATGTATTCTGGGAAACCCAGAACATGTAACTTGTATGTGAGTGCTTCCAACCAGACTCTATCAAAAGCCTTTGCTATATCAAGAAAAATTCCACCAGTGATCCTCTTGTTAGCCATTCCTTCAGCGATGGTCTCAACAACCCTGTAGAGCTGATTTGCCGTGGAGAGTTGCTTCCTGAAGCCGAACTGATGGGGAATCAGAATGTTGTTGTCCTCCAGGTGTGCGTTGATTCTTTTGAGCAGGACTGCTTCGAACACTTTGCTGATGGACGAAAGCAAGCTTATAGGCCTGTATGATTCTGGTTTGTTTGGTGGTTTTTTTAGGCTTCAGTATAGGCAGTATTTTAGCCTTTTTCCAACACTCAGGAAAGTATTGCCATTCCAGGATGATGTTACAGATCTTGGTGAGAATGAAGATGACTTTGACTGGCAGCTTCTTAAGCATGATGCTTGTGATGTTATCAATGCCAGGGCTCTTCCTGTTTTTGAGTTTCTTGATAATAGCTAGGACTTCTGAAGGTAAGGTTGGAATAATGTTGTCAGTGCGTGGGCTTTATAGAGAAAGTGGAATGAAAGTATTGAACAGTGCTTTCAGTGGTGGAGTCATGAATGTTGTTAGTGCGAAACTGAGATTCCAGATGCTGCGCTAAAAGTTCTGCTTTCTCAATTTCGGTGTAATGGATCCCTTGAGGACCTTTAAGGGGCGGAATGTTGTTGTGTGGCATTTCGTATACCTTTTGATGGCTCTCCATAGCGAGTTATCGTCTGTGGAGAGGTTTTGAAGGTACCTGGTCCAGCTGAGTTGTGCCTGTGTATTGAGTAGAGATCTGACCTCTCCGCAGAGTCTGTTGAATCTTTGTTTGTCCTCTCGGTTGCGGGACCTCTGGAACTGACGTCTGGCAGCGTTGCGTTGTCTGATGAGTAGTCTGAGCTCTTGGCTTCTGTAAGTGCGCCCCTTCGGCACAGGCTTTCTGGCTGCAGAGTAAGCATGAGTGATATCATCGGTAAAAAGTCTTGATTAAACTATCAATGTCATCCCTCGATTGTACTGTGGGGGTTGTGTAGTGCATGTTGTTTAGAGTTTTGGCGAAGGCTCGCCAGTCCGTGCGAAAGACTCTTGTGTCTGGTGGAGTATAGCTGCTGACGTTCAGAATCAGTCTGACCGGATTGTGATCAGAAGAGAGTTCGTCGAGCACAGAAATATCCAGCGGAACGCTGGTATTTTTGAGCAGGAAGAAATCCAAGATTCCAGTAGAACGGGCAGTATACCGTGTTGGTGTTTTGGGAGCTGCTATGTGTAGATTCGCCGATTTGGCCAAATTGAAAACTACATGTCCTATGTCATTTGAATTATAGCAGTTCCATGCGCGATGTCTAGCGTTAAGGTCTCCACCAATAATAACATGTGTGCCAAGTGAGAGTAAAACCTGCAAGTCCATGCGGACAAGTTGAGGGTTACGTGTGGGTGGAATGTATGTGGAGACAAAAATGTATGTTATATTATTGCTTGTTATGAGTGAGGATGGCTGAGGCCTCAAAAGCTGAAAGCCGTGGAATTGGAACAGGGTTGTGAGGAATGCAGCGTTTAATAAGAAGTGCTGTGCCCCCGCCATGAGGGTTCTGATCTGTAGCTGGTCTGTTATATCTGTGTACAGCATAATTCTGCACAAAGATAGGTGATGAAGGGCCAAGGCGGTGTTCCTGTAGGAAGAAGATATCGGGGTCGTACTTATTTACAAAATCCCGAAGTACATGAATTTTACGGGATAGTCCATTCGCATTCCATGTAAAAATATGTACACAATCATTCATCAAGTTATTCATTATTTACATTATTAGAGCCAAATATGTCCTCACAAATGTTAAAGACAACAAATAGCTTGTCAATGGCATTATTAGCTGCTTGTAACTCTGGCAGCCTGGCACTAATTTTACTAATAACATTGCCTACTGAGAGGCCTTTAAAAACACAGCTTAATTCTTTCAATAACTTAAAAATTCCATAATGGCACTAAAGCCTAAAGCCTCCCTCAGCAGAGGGGTTACAATTTTTAGCAATATCAACATGAGATTGTACATTTTCATTTTTACGAGGCTTAGTAGATGGCTTATTTACAACATTTTCAGAATTATCAAAAATAACATTTTTAACTGCCGCAGCAAAGGTACGACCATTAGACACATGAGAATTTTGAACATTGGTTTCGCTCTGCTTGGGAGCGCTTAGGGTATCAGAACCAACTTTGGCACCTGCATTTTTGTTTTTAATAGTGTTGTTGACGGGGAACTTAGGGCACCCCCTATAATTAGCAGTATGCCCTGTTTGTAAGCAGTTACAGCATTTAACAATATCAAGCCTTTTGGCAGAGCATTCGGCAGATTTGTGTGGCCCAGCACACTTTACACTTCTTGGTTTAAATTTGCAGTTATCTGAAGAATGATGGAAGTGTTGGCAGTTGTGACACTGCACAACACTTCTGTTTGATTGGTAAGCAGTCACTTTAACATAAAATCCCAGGAGCTTGACAATGTCATACACCTGCTCAACACCAGGTACATTGTTAATTTGGGCCTGATAGAGTGGCATAGGAACTCTGGTTTTTATTCTGTGCATTTGAGCGACTCGTCGAACCTTGAATCCTTGGTCTTGCAGCGCTTCGCTTATCTCTTCCACTGGGCAGTCGATTGGCAACCCTCTGATTACCACCTTGATCGGTCTGTCATGCTTTGTGAGTATAACATAGTGATCCACTTTTTTAGAGTCCAGGTAGCTCGTAACAATTCTGTGGTCATTTTCTGTAGCCGGGAAGATTTTCAGGAATTTCTCCACTGACTTTGCCTACAAAGTCAGCTTTGCTGTCAGTTTTTAATATCTTAATGAAGTCGCTGAATTTTATATCAGGCTTAACCATGATAGGCCGAATTTTTGGCGATAGAGCTGGTGGTATGACACTGTCAGAACCCTGTTGCGTGTCCATTTCAATAATTTCAACTTCATTTTCATTACAATTATTTGGTACATTTTCATTAGCATCATTATTTGCACAAGACAGTTTTTCAAATTTATTGGCCAAAGGGAGATCAATATTGTTTTTAACTAATTTAACAGGGCGGGAGGTATTCTTCGGGAGAATAAAACCCTCATCCCTAGTATCATTAATTGATCTTTTAACTCGTTTGACCGAGTTTTTTCTAGCCTTGGGCTTAAGTTTGTTATCATTGTCAGTAGTATTATAAGCATCAATAACATTACACATATTCAAAACATCAGAAATATCAGATAAATTACGATTCCTATTAATTACATTTTCCTTAAATCGATTAACAAAACCAGGATCCAGACTACTAAAGAACTCGCACTTACCTATGCATGCAGAAATAAGTCCTTCGGCAATCGCTCTGGTCTTTCTGTAGTTTTCTTCCACAATCTGTTTCTGGGTATCATCCGTCATAATCCTTAGGCTGTTTTGCACAATATCGACCTTGTGAGTTAATATCCGCTTTGATTTTGTCACGAAATTGCACACAGGCGATGTAATCTCTAGGTCCGAAATCCTCTTTATGAAGAATGTCACACCAGTTTCCACCTAATACCGAGTTACCGTAATCGATGTAATCCTCAGAGAAATTAACAATTTGCCGAGCAGCCTTTTCCATAATTTTCACACAATTATCACCTTCACTCATGATGAGTGAACAGAATTTCACAAATCACACGTTGTAGATTCGCAAAACACACTGAAAAACTTGTAATCACATAGTAATCACAGTAATCCAGGCACGAAAAAAGCACGAGTAAGCCGCCAAGTAAGCCAAGCCAGCCAAGCCTCATATATCGCCGCAGCCGCCATGAAGAGTCTTAAGGAACATTGCTACATTTATATAGACTATG